TATTTTAAACTTTATGCCCAATACATACACTCGCCACTTTATCAAGGCACCCATTACCGCAAGAACTTCGAGTTCGTAAGAGCTATACTTTTCTTCACAGGCCGTGGTCTTCCGACTCATGTACTGAACAGGGTGAAAAGCTCCATCTTCGGAATCCTTTTGGAGCAACACTCCCCCGAAACCGTATTTACACGCGTCTGTGTGAATTTCCGTTTCCAGTCTGGCATCATACAACTTTAGCACAGGACCGCTAGTTAATGCTGATTTTAATTGGTGGAATGCAACATTTTGCAACTCTCTAAATTCAAACTTGGCATCCTTTCGCAAAATGTCCGACAGAGGCTTAGCCATTTCAGCATATCCTTCCACGAATCTCCTAAAATAAGATGTCAGCCCCAAAAAGCGTTGAACTGCCTTCTTATCGTGCGGTGTTGGAAAATTAGCAACCGCTTGAGTTTTTTCTTCGCCTGGCTTTATGGTGCCATCTTGCACAATATAACCCAAGAAGTTCACCTTCTTTTGCAATATCTGACACTTAGACCAATTTATGCGTAAACCATTTCTACTTGCAACTTCGAGTACTCTTTCAAGTTTTACGAGTCCGTCATATACGTCTCTGCTGGGAATAATTATATCGTCCATATAGACGACCGCGTCCCCATTTACAATCAACTCCCGCATGACTGCCATTATAAATCTAGTGAAAACTGCTGGGGAGTTTGATATACCAAAAGGTACAAACAGAAACTCAAACTGCCCATTCATGGTAACGAACGATGTGTATTTCTGGGAACCTGCCTCGACAGGCACATGGAAAAATCAATTTGTTAAATCCAATGTTGAGTAAACTAATGCAGCCTGAAGCTTTTCCAAGACAGAATCCATCTGTGGCATGGGAAAATTATCTCTTATCACTTTCTCATTCAACTTCCTGTAATCGCAACATAACCGTTTCTTTCCATTCTTTTTTGTAACCAAAACGACTGGTGAAGCATATTCGGATGTGCTCGGCTTTATAATTCCATCTGCTAACCATTCTTTTATTTGCTCGTCAACTATCTTTTGGTCACATACTGCCATGCGCCTTGGATGTTGATATACTGGCAACTCATCGGTTAATAGGATTTTCATATCAATCTGAGCATTCGGATTTCTAACAGGCTTATAGACTTTGATTAATTGCTTAACTTTATTTGCTTCCGACACTTTCAAATGAGACAAATTTAACTCTATACCCATTTCATCCTCTATTAGGCTAAGCATACACATACTCTTAAATTCATCTAAGAACTCGCTGCAGTGACCATTCTCAAAACCTACAATTTTGTTAAATTCATTTGATGCCTTGCTTATCAATTCTGTGCCCATTTTAGTTACTATCATATCGACATTGTTAAGTATTGTCCTGCCAAGTATGGCCTCGAAAGCCATGTCTTCATCTGGAACCACGTGAAACTCAACTCGCATCTCTATGCCATCAATCTTCACAAGTAGAACGAAGCTTCCAAACGTCAAAACTTGATTGTCGCCTATACCGGTTAAACATTTTGCGCATCCAGTAAATTGTTTAATGCCTAGCTTGAAAAAGACACATCTGCGCATAAGACACAAGTCCGCTCCAGTATCTAAAAGTCCTTTAAAAAATATTGAACCATGAACAACTTCTTTTAATTCGAGACCCGAAGCGGTAAAATTGCTTGACGGCTTAGTTACCTGCTTCGCCTCCTGCACTATGTTCGTCGACCTTTCTTGTTTGATTTGGACATCGGACTTGCATTGCGCTGCGCGATGACCTGGTTTTCCACATTTAAAACAATTAAATTAAAAACATGCGACGTCTCACCACATTTAAAACATTTGCGTGCTTTTTCTGTAACCCATTCCTTGTTTGTTTTGCTTCCGCTCTTATCACCTTGTGTTTCATACCTGTTTAACGACGCGCATGAACCACGAGCTTTTTGATAAGCTTCTATTTGGACTTTTAATTGTTTAGTAGTTTTCGCCTGATACAACAGTGATTTGTTTGCCCTAGAATCCGGTATACCTTCTACAAAATACTCAATAAGGCTTTCGTCATCGAGATTTGTGTGCTTTGCTATTTCCATAAGAGCATATAAAAAATCTTTTAGGGTCTCACCCTTTCTCTGTCGCCGCTTACCTAAACGTCGGTGGACCTCTGCCGCTGACAACTTGACCTGAAACTCTTCAGTCAATGCCTCTTTTAACGAGTCCCAATTTTGAATATCACGCTGACTCCGAATAAAAGATCTTGCAGCTCCTTCTAATAGTTGCTTTGCATACACAAACAATTGTAATTGATTCCATTGCATAGCAAATTGAGATGAGAATTGTCAGTGCTTTTTGATCGTGGCTCATCGCTGCACGGCATTGACACGAGTGCCGTGTTTCATATTCCGAGTTTGTGCGTGACCGTATTGACTCAATATGGCACGAAAAGACTCAAATGTGAATTTAAAATTAGGATATACCCTTATAATTATTCCCCTTTTTTGCACATAGTCTATCTTAAAACGTTGCGTTATCTCTATTTATAAAACAGTTTGTCCTGACTAATTGGTGATCAACGCACAGCCCAAACGGTAAAAGATGAAATTTGGACTCAAGTATCCTTTCATAGTATCCATCATAGTGTAGGAGCACACTAAGAAAGGCTTTTGGAAAATTCTAGCTCCAAAGCGGGGAAAACGAGCTTTAAAAAATATTAGTTATAGTGGTCATGTTCGTTTAACGAAATAGTTTGGCAAGAACAAAAATGTAACGGACTACTGAACAATTTTTTGTCAAGAACAGAAAATGTTCATTTAAATACCTTAAATGCCTTCCTACTGGTAACTTATAAGGTGAAAACATATGGATAGGTTATGCACACACAAAATAAATACAATTGGAAACATGATATTGAGCCGGGTTAAGACGGGCAATACCTGCTAGTATATACATATGTGTCTATAACTTCCTGTTTAATCGGCCAATTATTATGAAACTTGACACACGGACTCATAATCACTAACGGGAAGTATTTTCAGAATTACCATGAAAATGAATTAAGAGAGTTATGGACTGGGGTGGAGGGGGGAGGGAGGGAAATTCCAAAATATTCACATAAGGCATCTGGGACTACAATTTGGTGTCCCTAGGTCTTAAAGGCTCCGAGATATAGGGTATTATACGAATGGAAAATCGGGAAAAGTATTGGGGGGGGGGAGGGGTGGGGAAATCCAAAAAATAAAACAAACTCGTATAGCGTACACACATAAGGCATCTTTGTGCAAAAGTTGGTGTCTCTATCTCTTATAGTCTCTGAGATCCAGGTGTTCATACGGACGGACAGACAGATAGACAGGGCTAGATCGACTCGTCTTGTCACGCTGATCAAGAATATGTGGGGTCTGCCTCCTTCTGCCTTTTACATTTTTCACCTCCCGCAAACCTAATATACTTCTGTACATTTCATGTATAGAGTATAATAACAATGTTAATGTTAGCCATATTTACATGAAATAAATTAATATTTAATTAAATATCGACATTCTCCTAATTATTCGCTTTACAAAGAAAATTTGTGTATCCATTCACCGTGCATACGGATTCGTGTATTTTTACAGCCAATTACGTGATCGCGCGGTGACAGGCCGAAAAAAGTCGACACATGCCCATCTCTAGTATCTCAGCTGATTGCATATTTACAAGCGATTTACAGTTTGTGTTAAACGGTTGCATCAGTAACAACGCTACAAATTTATTCTGAAGAATTCTGGGAGACATTAGGCTTATTGAATATATTCTTGCGGCTTACAAAAAAAAATTAAATTATTAAAAAAAAAACATACCTGACCTCAGGGGAACCTGCATACCAAGTTTGGTCATTCTAGCTCTTGTGCCTTCTGTGATCCTTGCGCTCATACAGACGGACATGGCTCTATCGACTTGACTTGTCCCTCTGATCAATAATATATATATTTTGTTGGGTCTGCCACGCCTCCTTCTGCCTGTTACATACATTCGCACAAAACTAGTATAGCCTTTCACCCTTTAGGTACAGGCTATAAAAACACGTATCGATAAGTGTTGAACTGTACAATTAAATACATACACTTAAATGTATGTATATATATGTATGTACATGCATATGAGGATAGATAGCGCCTGCATCAAAAAATAAAATGTACATAAGTACATCCCCAGACATCCCGATTTAGGCGGGACGTCCCGATTTTTAAATCAAAATTAAATGTCCCGCGCAGGGCAGGGTTTGTCCCGCTTTTCGGGAATAATTCGTCCACGCGCGCATGTATGTAGATACATGTTTCTAGAAATTACTTGCCTTGATTTATCTCTATCATACTATATACATATGTATGCACATATAACCATACATAGTATTTATTGTACTTTATGTTCTACCTCTCGAATCGTACCAAAGTAATTGGCTATTTGGGAAATGTACTCTTTACATTCTTTAGAGAAAGTCGGAAGAGAAATATCATATAGAGCTCAATAAACGTATGATTGTAAGCACAAAAACTGAGCAGGCAAAGTCGGGAAAGACCTGCTAGTATGTCTAAATGACCAAGCAGTGCTCGCAAAAAAAAAAAAAAAAATCAATAGAGAAATGTCCGACCGGCTGTCTGTATCAATGAAAAGATCCCACAAAGTACAAGAGCTAGAGATTCGCCTAAGCTCTAGACGTCTACCTGTACTTAATGTTTTTTCTCCCCCGCTATTTGTGATTTTCCATAACTCCCGTAAGTTTTAGAAAATATTTTCATGTCAGACTTTGAACCGATTCAAGTTCCCAACTTGACGACAGAAACCAACTTCCCTGCGGGCCTAAGTACTATGCCAGAATGATGCTATGAATATGGGGATGCAAAGACGTAGGCGCTATATCTAACTATGATGCTATCGCAATGACGATCTTTCTTGCCTAACACAGTAACAAACGTTGACTCAAAGAAGTTTTTTTTACTGACACCTACCTTCCAAAGTGACATCATTGGGTGAAAGCAATGGGGGAAAATTAGTGCTTGTTTGACCTTCGCCGATAGCAATTGGCTCGAGCTCGTATGGTAATCCTGCGTTAGGTATAGCCCCCTGCAATTTTGGGGCTGGCGGAACTGCTTCAGATTCCTTATAAAATTGATCCTCGTCATACAATTCATCGTGGTCGAACTCCAGCTCGCCCTGCTGCAATTCGTCAGATTCTGGAGCGGTTTCGTAGCGATCTTTAAGCACCTTTCGCGGAACTACAAAAATGAGTTACGCCTTGGCAATAAATAAAACCACGATAATATGGTGTTATGATGTACTTACTGCAGGTGTAAACGACTTTAAGATACATCCTCACATCTGCTTTGCATGGTCTGCCGAAGGTGCTCGAGTCTGCAGTTACGGAACAGCGGCGCCTCCCATGGCAAATCTGCATAGCTGTCTCGGTAGCGTAGGATACAAGGCAAGCTACAAATGAAGGTAGATAGTTAGTAGGTAGTAGCGGATTTCTACAAATTAATACTTTGTAACACGCAGAACTACTTACTCGACTTACTGCTGCCTCCGGCAATCGAAGACATGCTGTCGGTGCCCGAGACCTGGCTATTGCATTGCACGCTCTCACGTTCTGTGTGGCCGAAGCTAGCACTGTAAATGGCAATACGCGAATACGGATTGCACACTAAAGGCATGCTATCATTTTCGCACGCCACCTTGCTGCGAAATTCATCTATCAAAAATATATACAAGTATGTTGAATTTGTGAAAGAGCACACAGCATTACAATATTAAAACGGATCAGAAGTTATCAGATGGGTCACATTATTTGGTTATTGATTTTGTGAACTAATAGGATTACATTAGGTGTGTGCAATGTATATATGTAACATTCCCCCTGTTAAATCTACGACCCCATAAAGTATATTTGATCATAATCAGTATAAACAGACGAATCGATACAGCCACGTACGTCTGTCTAAATGAACGCCTGGATTTCTAAGACATCTGAGCCCACATTGACCAAACTTGTAGACTCCCCTTTTTTTGTTTCCCCCCTCCTCACCTACAGAATTTCGTGAAACCAGACTTTGCACACCTAATCAATGTATAATTTTCTACTCTACTCTCTACTTGTTTTGAATTCCATCTGAATCGGTTAATTCTAAGAAAAGTTATTAGCGAAACAATTTAATTCCAGTATTACGCCCGCAAACTGCAGGAGTACGTTTGCTCTTCTTCTTCCCCGTTTTTCTTCTGCTAGGGGCAAATGCAACTCAGCGCCAAAAGTTTGCTTGGCTTAAGAGTATTTCAATGTTGGACTTGCTCGATAGAAACATTCTATCATGATTAATATGGACCAGGGCGGCCCATCTTTAATACAAACTTTGTGCTCCAACTCTGTAGCTTCATTGCAGACTTACATGGACGGCACTTATAGGCTATCTCCACAAATTTTCGTATACGAGAACAAGGATCTCCAGATGATCGCGATCTGGAATTAGCTGCGAACTTGCAGTGCCGTTTCTTTTGGCAAGTGTCGACTACCGCTTGCAGTAGCGCATACTGTGAAAGGTAGAGATAAAGAGCAAGATGTTGATCACACTTACTTACCCTTGTATAACACTCAAAAGAAAGTATAATCGACCAAGTGTGATAAATATGTACAATTTTTAATAACTTTAATATTGTATGTAGGAATTGTATTACTGAAACAGGTAGATTGGGCTCCCGAGACCATTATAATATTCATTTTATTAATGAACAACGTTCAGCAAAGCGAACCCGATGCATTTTTATACCCTGCACCCAAATGGCAAAAAGGGTACATTAGAAATCATCTCCGACCACAAGAGAAAGAAAAAATAAATCTATACAGCTATGTACTCGTACGTCTGTTTGATTGTCTGTCTGGATGAACATCTGGCTGAGCTCACATTGACACAACTTAATATTTATGTAAGCTCCAACTCCTTATCCCCAGGCAACATGAGTCATTATACTCTGTACATGAAATGTACAAGAGTATATTAGGTTTGCGGGAGCTGAAAAATGTAACAGGCAGAAGGAGGCGTGGCAGACCCCACAAAGTATATATATTCTTGATCAGCGTGACAAGACGAGTCGATCTAGCCCTGTCTGTCTGTCTGTCCGTCTGTCCGTCCGTATGAACACCTGGATCTCAGAGACTATAAGAGATAGAGACACCAAATTTTGCACAAAGATGCGTTATGTGTGTATTCTATACGAGTTTGTTTTATTTTTTTGATTTTCTCCCCCCACTTCCCCCCTATGGGGGTTTTCCCGATTTTCCATTCGTATAATCACCTATATCTCGGAGACCATAAGACCTAGGAACACCAAATTTTAGTCCAAGGTGCCTTGTATGAATACGCAGAAAATGTATATTTTGGAATTTCCCTCCCTCCCCCCTCTCCACCGCAAATGCGATTTTCTCTAACTCCCGTAATTCTTGGAATTTCGAACTAAAATTTTGCAAATACCCCCAGTTAGTAATTATGTGTCCGTGTGCCAAGTTTCACTATGATAGACCGATTTACCAAGAAGTTATAGCCATAAATATATTTGCTGCTGCAGCGCTGCTGCAGCGCTGCCCGCGGCTGTTGTTGATGTTGCTGTTTGGTTGACTGCGAAAATGCTTACACAGACACGAATAGATGCGCATAGGCATACATACACTCACACAGACGCAATTGCTATGTAAATGTGCAATTATACACCCTTTACGTGAGTTCGAATACCGAGAAAGGTAAAATCGATCATTGAATTTTTTTTTATTTTCTTAATTTTTTTTATTTTCTATAATTATTGTAAACATATGTACAGAGTATTTCAAAGTCGGGACACCCGACTTTAGCTTTTTTACTTGTTTTATTTTGTTGTCTGTACGTCCGTTCGTCTCTCTGTATGAGCGCAAGTATCTCAGCAAGTGCAAGAACTAGATAAACCAAACTTGGTATCGAGGTTCCCCTAAGCCCTAGGCAGACCAAGTTTGTTTTTTTTTTTTCTGATACATCTTCTCACTCCCCCGCTGATCGCGATTTTCCATAATTCATGGAATTTTTAACTGAAGTTGATCCCTTTAGTGCCTTTGTGGCCATCTAGGCCTTCATCATCATCTTCATCATAATATGTCATAAATGTAATCTCTACCCAAGCTCTGCCCGCAGCTATTGTTGCTGCCGCTTTGATTTAATTCTGTACTGCACTCATACATGCACATAAAGACGCATCTACACAATTGTGATGCAAACGTATGCTGCTGAAACTGTAAGATAATGTCTCTACAGATGTATGTTCAAATTAATGAATGTTTTTTTAAACCTTTTTCTCTTTTGCGGGAGTGGATATAGGGTAATTCGCTGTTGGCCTTGCTCGACTGTAGCGTTCTTTTTTATTGTGAAGTTTTTATACTTCATTATTTTTAAGCTTTCGTATAACTAGTTCGCATAAATACGAATAAGTAGGCTATTTCATCATTAAAAAATAACGAAAATTAACGAAAACTGCACCATGGATGTGCCAATCTACCTGATCCTTCCACAGTTCCTATAATGGTTGGTCGATGGTAGAATTGCTTACCTGTAATCCGCTTACGGTACACGTTTCCGGCGACTTCAGCTCGTTTTCGCTGGCAATGTGGATGAGAGCCTCACCGCCACTTCCGCTCGTGGCGGAGTTTTCTTGCGAGATGGGAGGGCAGAGGCTGTGGTCGGTCAAATCTGTTTGAACGTAATTGTTTCATAATTATTGACGTTACCGAAGCTCTTGAAGATTATGCAAAGTGCGACAGACTGGAGTCGCAAACGAAGCGAAATTAATAAAAGTACCTAACTATTTATCTTCAATCCACCGCATTTCTTGCCACTTTGTCGCAATTTATTGGCACATACGAGAATACGAGTACAAGTATATACACGTACATTTATGTGTTAGCAGATGTAAACTTACCACCCGCTCGTCCATATTGGGCCAGCTCTATTGAAATGCTGGTACCGCGTGGGCAACTCAGTGATAACTGTTCAGAATCGCATCCGGCGCGTTGGTATGTCCGCAAGGTGCCAGCCAAAAGGGCTAAAAGTTATCAAAGATCAAGAAACAAAATTAGTAAGAAATCGCCAACCGAAACAAATAAAGAACGGAGATAATTACAGTTCTCAAGAAGAAGGAGGAAGAAGCTTGGGGCGTAGTTCCTGGATAAAATTGATTTGCTTAAAAAGTAATAGATTTGGATACAAGACGAAATACCTGAGAACTACTTTTAGTTTTTTATATACTCTAAGCCAAATCCATCTCTGTTTTCCTAATTATACTATGTACATGAAAAGTTCAAGAGTATTGTGGCGGTTACATGCAGTCGGCCAATGTATACACCCCTAATTGATAGCAAGCTATCGAAAGGATAGAAGCACTTGGTGACTGATCGAGATACAGCAGCGTCGTCCACCATCTCCGCACGTTAATTTCACATATTGTATAATTTAAAGTTATTAAATAAAGTGGTTATTGTTACAAATATTATTATTATCACAACAAGATCCCACATTGGTGACCCCTACTTGATCTAACTCTGCGGAGACGTCAAATTTTAAAGAATATAAACTATCAAATGCTACGGCTTTTTCTGTGGAATTACACACATACACACAAGCGCAAATACATTAAATGCCCGCGTCACTCATACATACATATATACACACGTTTTAAATAATTTCATAACTTAATGAAACATCGAACCATGAGTGATTGTTCTTCAGACGACACAGTAATTGAAGGTACAAGTACGTCCTCTGCTGATCCAACTCCGATTGAACCAAACATGGATTCAAACAACATAGTTAACCGTGTGGCAGTGAAAGTCCCACCATTTTGGGCCGAACGTCCCGAGATCTGGTTTGCTCAAATTGAATCGCAATTTTGCATCGCAGGAATTTCAGCTGACCAAACAAAGTTTCACACTGTTGTGGCTTCAATGGAATCAAACGTAATTGCTCAAATTACCGACGCTGTGCTCAATCCGCCCGCAAATGTCAAATACGAGAATCTCAAGCGCAGTGTTATAGAGCAGATGAACAGATGAAGATTCGCAAACTTCTTTCTGATATTGACTTGGGTGATCGCCGCCCGACGCAGCTCCTAAATGAACTTCGTGGACTGGCCACAGACCGCATAAGTGAAGATTTTCTCAAATCTTTGTGGACGCAACGTCTGCCACCACATGCACGTGCCATTCTTCAAGCATCAGGCGATGATTTACAAGGTTTGGCGAAATTAGCTGACAAGGTCCGAAGGCTCGAAGTTGGAGGATTCGGCCAAGTCAACGTTACTTCTAGTACCGCAACGCCATCTAACCCAATAGACAAAATAATTGCTCGCTTGGATAATTTGGAGAAATGCATTCGTTCTCGTTCCCGTTCTCGAAACCGTTCACCAGGAATTAATACCCGTAACGCTTCTTCCTCAGTTTGCTGGTTCCATGAGAAATTTGGCAACAAGGCTAAAAAATGCAAGCCACCCTGCTCATTTAACGATTCAAAAAACTCAAAACTACTTCTGTTCCGCCGCCCACCGAACCAGAAGTCAAAAGCTACGTAGCACGCATTTACGACAAGGGCACTCAACACAAATTTTTAATTGACACAGGTGCTGACGTTTCAGTTCTGCCGGCTTTGCCCAAAGATAGATTTAATCCAACAAACTCTTTCAGTTTATTCGCAGCAAATGGCACGCCTATCAAAACGTTTGGTGAAAGGCGCCTCAAACTGTCACTTGGACTGAGACGCGATTTTGTTTGGACATTCATATTGGCAAACGTTTCCATGCCAATCATTGGGTCAGATTTTCTGAGCCATTTCGACCTGTTGGTTGATGTTAAGCGGCGCACATTGATCGACACAAAAACATCGCTGCAATCACGAGGCATCGTTGTCCAAGCGTGCTACCCGACGATAGTATCGCACATCACTGACGACGATGTTGCTGACTTGTTGAATTCAAACAACTGGCAATTCACAACCATAACACACAGCCGTCACCTTCCGACGTAACACACGTTATCGAGACCAATGGACCAGCAGTTTTTTCGCGACCACGGAGGCTCACTGGCGACAAACTGGCTGCCGCTAAGAAAGAGAGAACGGGGCATTTGTCGTCCCTCCAGCAGTAGTTGGGCAAGTCCATTACACATGGTTCGAAAAGCTAACGGCGAATGGAGACCTTGTGGCGATTATAGAGCACTAAATGCAAAGACAGTGCCTGATCGCTACCCACTACCATTCGTTCATGATGTCACAAACATTTTGTTCAACAAATCTATATTCTCAGTCATCGACTTGCAGCGAGCGTATCACCACATTTCAGTCGAGCCAAAGGACATACCAAAGACCGCAATTACATGACCTTTGGTTTGCGCAATGCAGCCCAAACATTTCAAAGATTTATGCACAACGTATTGCGTGATCTCGAATTCACATTCGTTTATGTCGACGACATTCTCATCGCTTCTAAGAGTATGGAGGAACATAAGCAACATTTACGAACAGTGTTTGGACGACTTCAGCACAACAAGTTAACAATCAACGCTGACAAATGCCAGTTTGCAAAGAATGAGGTCCAACTCCTTGGTCATAAAATTAATGCAAATGGATTTCTACCATTGGAAGCACGAGTCTCAACCATACGAGATTTTCAGCAACTTACAACAGCATGTCAACTGAGGAAATTCTTAGGCATGATAAACTATTACCGCCCATTTATACCGAATGCGGTAAATAGTCAAAGCAAACTGCAATCGCTGATAAAGGGAAACAAGAAGAACGATAAAACTCCAGTGGAATGAACTCCTGACACTGTAAGAGCATTCCAGGAATGTAAGGACCAACTTGCCAACGCTACTTTATTGACATTTCTCGCCCCAAATGCAAAACTCTCGTTAAGCACAGATGCCTCTGACACCGCTGTTGGAGCTGTAGCACACCAACTAGTGGATGGCAAACTTCAGCCGCTTGGATTTTTTTCAAAAAAACTGAATCCTGCACAAACTAGGTATGGAACCTACGACCGCGAACTGCTGGCAATATTTTTGGCAATACGCCATTTTCAATATATTCTAGAAGGCAGACAATTTACTGTTTACACAGATCACAAACCACTTATCTAGGCATTCTCTCAAAAATTGGACAAAACTCCACCCGTAAGAGGAAGACACCTGGAATTCATAAGCCAATTCACCACTGACATCAAACATGTGTCTGGTAGAGACAATGAAGTTGCGGATTTACTCTGTCGCATTAATGCAATTACCGACATAAATTTCGACGCCATTGCTACTGCCCAAGAATCTGATCCGGAACTGATGCAAATGCTGAAGGATAACAAAACCTCATTAAATATAAAGAAGATCGCCTTGCCGAACACGTCGTTTTCCCTATACTGCGACGTTAGCACAGGCATAGCTCGACCATTCATACCACAGCAGCTGCGGCAGAAGGTGCTGCAAAAAATACATGGTCTATCACATCCAGGACGGAAAGCTACACAAAAGCTCATCTCAACACGATTTGTTTGGCCGTCATTGTCAAAAGACGTTGGCAATTTTGTACGCACATGCACGCAATGCCAGAGATGCAAAGTTCAACGTCACAACAAAACAGCAACCGGGAGCTATGGACCAACATATCAACGTTTTGATCACATAAATATCGATATCATCGGACCATTGCCAACCTCACGAGGAAACCGATACTGCTTGACTTGCATCGATCGATTTTCCAGATGACCCACAGCAATTCCAATTCCCGACATATCAGCTGAAACTGTAGCCACAGCGCTGATAAATGGATGGATTTCTTTATTTGGCGTTCCACTTCAAATCACTAGCGATCTTGGACGCCAGTTCGAGTCAACCGTTTTTTCTGGATTGATGCGAATTTTGGGTATTAACCATTTACGCACAACAGCCTACCACCCACAGTCAAATGGTTTGGTGGAGCGCTGGCACCGAACTCTTAAAGCAGCCATAAAATGTTACAGGACCAACGACTGGTGCGACGTCCTGCCTCTAGTCCTGCTTGGATTACGTACCACGGGGAAAGAAGACTTAGGAGCCAGCCCAGCCGAAATGCTTTTTGGTTCACAACTTCGCATTTCCGGCGAGTTCGTCACACGTGGGAAGAACGAGCCAAACGAAACTGAATTTATAAAATTGTTTCGAGAGAAAATTAGATCTCTCCGACAAAGCAGCACTTCCTGCCATAGCTCCAATGAAACCTTCCTGCAGCCCGATATTAAAAAAGCAACACACGTATTTGTTCGTCTTGATCGTGTTCGTACTCCATTGGAAGCTACGAGGGCCCATTCGAGGTTCTAAGCAGAAACGATAAATTCTTTAATGTCCGCTTGGCAAATAGAGATGTAAACATCTCCATCGACCGTCTGAAAGCTGCATTTTTGGACAAAGCGCAAGCACCGCCTACGATTGCCGTGGATCCCGAAATACTTTCACCTGCAGAAGGCTCCAGAGAAGAAACACCGACTCCATCCTTTACCACCACAAAATCGGGTCGAACCGTCCGGTTCCCTCCAAGATACCGATAGGTTCCCATCTAACGGCGGAGTACTGTGGCGGTTACATGCAGTCGGCCAATGTATACACCCCTAATCGATAGCAAGCTATCGAAACCACCATCTCCGCACGTTAATTTCGCATATTGTATAATTTAAAGTTATTAAATAAAGTGGTTATTGTTACAAATATTATTATTATCACAACAAGATCCCACAGTATATTAAATGTAACAGACAGAAGGAGGCGTGGCAGACCCCACAAAGTACTTGTATATATATTCTTGATCAGCATGACAAGACGAGTCGATCTATGTCTATCTGTCTGTGCGTCTGTCCGTATGAACACCTCGATCTCAGAGACTACAAGAGGTAGAGACACAAAATTTTGCACAAAGATACCTTATGTGTGTACGCTATATGAGTTTGTTTTATTTATTTGATTTTCCCCCCTATGGGGTTTTCCCGATTTTCCATTCGTATAATCGCCCATATCTCGGACACTATAAAAGCTGGGGACACCAAATTTTAGTCCCAGGTGCTTCATGTGAATACGCAGAAAATGTATACTTTGGAATTTCCCTCCCTCACCCCTCTCCCAAGCAATTATATTATTTAAATTAATAATTTGTTTTTAATTTAATTAAATAAATACATTTATACAAAAAGGAGACTATTTTATGTACAGTTTCAACAGCATACATTTACATGCAGCACAAAGTTGAACCAAAGCAGCAACAACAACAGCTTCGGGCAGAGCTACAAGCAGAGCAGCGATTTTATTTATGGCTATAACTTTCTTCATAACTTCATTCATAAAAAAATTCAAACTTGTACTTTCTCGGACTTAGGAGAATCTGGATGCCAAGTTTGGTTTTTCTAGCTCTTATACTTTCTGAAATCCTTGCGTCCGTACAGACAGCTGGACATGGCTATATCGACTCGTCCTGTCATCCTGATCAATAATATATATACTTTATGGGGTCTGCCACGCCTCCTTCTGTGTGTTACATACATTCGCACAAAACTAGTATGTATACCCTTTTACCGTCCCTTTTTTCGGCATAAAGTCCAAAAAAGAAGGTATCGTCGTATGAGCCTGTGAGCATTTTCAGTATTTTAAACTATGTATTTGTTTGATTTTTAATTATAATAGTAATACTAATATAATTTTATAAACATATACATATTCAAGTCCTCCCCCTCCCCTCTCTCCTCACGCTATAGAATTTAGTCAATACACTCCACATTTTAAAAGCAATATAAACAAAACTTGGCACACGTAATCAATATACAATTATTTACTTTACTTTATTTCATCCAAATCGGTTAATTCTAAGAAAAATTTCTCTACAAATCGATTACAACTTGGCATGTGCTTTTTAATATGACTGGCGAAGGCGTATACTTTTTCCGATATCAACATAATATTATATTCATTTTACTTAAATTTTCTGCAATATATACAGCTTAATTCTTGGAATTTCGAACTCAAACTTTGCAAATACCCCCAGTTAGTGATTATGTGTCCATATGCCAAGTTTCATCACGGTAGACAAATTTAGTAGGAAGTTATAGCCATAAATATATTCGCTGCCCAAGCGCTGCCCGCAGCTGTTGTTGATGCTGATGCTTTGGTTGACTGCAAACATGCTTATACATACACGAATAGACGCGCATAGACATTCATACTCTCACTAGACGTAATTGCTTTGTATATGTGCAATTATACATCCTTTACGTGAGTTCGAATACCGAGAGAGGTAAAATCGATCCAAATTTTTTTTTAAATTTTTGTAATTTTTATAATTCTTGTAAACATGTGTACAGAGTATTTCAATGTCGGGACACCCGACTTTAGCTTTTTTCTGGAGATAATATATGTATGTATTTGTCTCACACTTAAAATGAAAAAGGATAAATTGCACAATTATCGATATTCTATTAAACGCGTGACTTGGTATTCTTCTTAATTGAAACGGTAAAGCTGATAAAAAACAAATGTATGACAAAACATCATAAAACATAAGGAACAAATTTTGTATACCCAAAACATATACATATATATCTTAAAATAGCGGCAATATCAAAAACAAATTTTGCACAAATATCAATTTTACTGAGGTAATAACGAATACGACTCGGTGGGGGGATTTTATTTGCCAAACGGCCAGCTATGCCCCAATTCACAGCAGAGAGTAGTCAGATACGATATTAGATCTAACAAAAAATAAATGGATTTATTATAAATGGATAAAATGGTTTTTTCGGCAAAATCAATTTATTTTATTCAAAATAGTCTCCTTCTGCTTCAATCCAGCTTTTTGCACGATCCAAAAGCATGTCGAACGAGTATTTTAGCTCGTTGGCCGGTATGGCCGCCAGTATGCCGGTGTATAAAACAGTTTGTCCTGACTGACTCACTGACTGATTGGCAATCAACGCACAGCCCAAACGGTAAAAGCTAGGAAGCTGGACACAACATCTCTCTCACAGTGAAAGTGAGCACTAAGAAGGGATTTTTGATAATTCGAGCTCCAAGTGGAGGAAAATGAGCTCCAAAGTTTGTTTGAAAAATCCGCATTTTTCTACCAATCAACTTCATTTTGGTTTGGATTTTAATATCTATAAAAGAATGCAAAAAAGAACTGCATACTCGGTTTTTTGAAATTGGTCTTGGACCTTGAATTAGTGGGGTTTTAATATTTATTCACTTTTTCAAATGATAATTTTGTGTTATAAATGTTGTCCGATCGATTTCAAATGTGGGTAATGTAATCTACGTAACTAAATCTACAACTTTGCATTCAAGGATTTTCAAAATATAGAAATACTGTTCTTGCTTTACAAATGCAGGCAGAACAAACAACATAAAATGCATATCACACAGTTGGGGACAACTTAGTATACATACACACACACATATACAAGCAGCTGTTCGTGTAGTTGCGTGCAAACGATTGAAATAGCCAAAGCAAAATGTGAGACACTAATGTGTAAACGTATGTACACATGTCAAGAAATATTGATTAATTAAAAACGATTTAACATTTTTAAAAGTAATTTATTTTGTTAAGTACATTTGGCATTATTTATTTATTATTTAAACACATCGTGCATTTTTTAATCAAAATTATAATTTTGTGGACCCACTTCGGAAAACCTGCGTATCATATGTATATGATTTGTTCTAATCGAACTCAATAAATTATAATATGTTATTATTTAGATATTATGCTTATTGCATTCAAACTTCGATTTATCGATAGTATCGGTAGATACAGCTATCGAAAGTTGTACTCTAGGAAATTGAAATGGGAAGTGTCAGTGCTTTTTGATCGTGGCTCATCGCTCAGTTATAGTGGTCATGTGTGTGTACGTTTAACGAAATATTTTGGCAAGAACCAAAATGTAACGAACTACTGAATAATATTTTGTCAAGAACAAAAAATGTTCATTTAAATACTTAAAATAATTAATTAAAGTAATTAATAAGGTGAAAATATATGGGTAGGTCATGCACACACACAAAATAAATAGAATTTGAAGTATTATATTGGGCCGGGTTAAGACGGGCAATAACTGCTAGTAAATAATAAAAGACAAAATATAATTAAAAGCTAATTCCCGTTGGGGAAAGATTTATTAGCCAGTCTGGCGAGCTATGCCTCTACTCCAAGCAGTGGTGATCAGTGATACTGCCGGAAGTAGCTGAAAATATAGGATTTTATTGAGGGGAGAGAAAGCTCACTTGAGATTAATAAGTAAAAAGTGTTATAATTACTATATACTCGAAAAGGATTGTGCATGGCGTAATCACAAGTGCATCTTTTAAGTTAAGTTCCTTTTTGGCCTGGAAGTTACAGACAAATTTATACGACCTAGAAGCATAGCGAAATCAACAGGGTGACAAGACAAGTCAATATAGCCATGTCCGTCCGTCCCGTGGAAGTAAGCTGTAAGAGGTCTGAAGTCTTCGCTGCATGTTCTCTATATGTAAGTATCATACAACCATGTGGTCATTTCGAGTTTTAATCTTGACTTTACTATTAATCATAATAAGGATAAATGCATTTTTCACAATAATATAATATATCTACAATTTTTATACTCTGTACATGCAATGTACAAGAGTATACTAGGTTTGCGCGAGCTGAAAAATGTAACAGGCAGAAGGAGGCGTGGCAGACCCCACAAAGTATATATATTCTTGATCAGCATGACAAGACGAGTCGATATAGTCCTGTCTGTCTGTATATGAACATATGAACACCTGGATCTCAGAGACTATAAGAGATAGAGACACCAAATTGTGCACAAAGATGCCTTATATGTGTACGCTGTGCAAGTTTATTTTATTTTTTGATTCCCCCCACACACACATATGGTTAAGTGTTGAACTGTACAATTGAATACATACACTTACATATGTACATGCATATGAGGATAGATAGCGCCTCCATTCAAAAATATAATGTACATACATATGTATGTACATATCAGCGTTGCCAGACGTCCCGATTTTGGAGGGACATTCCGATTTTTCAATCAAAATTAAATATCCCGTGCGGGACAGGCTCAGTCCCGCTTTTCGGGGATAACTCGACCATGCGTGCTGAAGAATTTCGGACGAGTTGCATTTATAAGTGAGGACTGTATGTATGTATGTCGTTGTTAAATTTTACAGTGTTTAATTCTAGAAACTACTAGCCCTCAATGTCACAATCTACATATTTATGCATGCAAATTGTTTGCATTGGGGCCTTACTGGTGCATGAAAAAAATTTAATGTATTTATGTTCATATGTATGTGGGTATGTAAGTATGTGTCAAAGTGTTGGTGAGCCCCAATAAGTGATTTTAGAAAATTAGAAATTCGAGTAACTTTAATCTTGGTTTATGTACTTACTCTAAGAAAGAATACAAGAAAAACTGCGTTGTATTTTTGTAACTTATTATTAAAGATAATAACATAGCAAAATAGGTGTATATTTACCTAAGGGATCAACCCGATAAATAACCTCCGCCAAGACTGACCGGGTAATTAGGCATATAGCTGCCAGGAGCCAGGCCGCACATCTCCAAGAACAGCATTTACGGACACAGGAACGTAGGCGAGGACATGGGTAATGCAGCTGCTGTGCGGGTGCTGCCTCTGGTCTTGGAGTATTGGTGACCATAGCCAGCAGCCACAAAAGTTTGTTGTTATTGTTGAGGTTCCTACAGCTGCGGCTGCGCCTGCCGCTTTAAATATCTTAAGCTCTTTCGCAGCAATGATTAATATCTGATCTGATGCTTCCTTATAGAACGATTGGTGCGCTTTAAATGTTCGTATTTTCACAAGAATTGTTAAAAAGGAATTCACTAGAATTCACATTCCTTATAATTTTCATATCATGCCATTGTCGCTTGCATTGATAACACTTGGATAAATTGACCATTGATATTACAAATTTCACATTTCATACACTTCACACCATTGTAATTGTTCGTTTTCATAATTGCTGCAAACAAGCCGAATAATTTTATAATTTTATTGAAACCGTGTACCTGCCAGGACCATAGAGTCATTTATAAAATATTTGTCCTTTTCTATAAGTTAAATTGTTGACTACAATCATGTTTTCTTATCAGTTTAATACCGTGTACCCAATTGGTTGAAAGCTTTGCCTGCAGTCGTTGTTTTTGCTCATCTGCAAAGACACAAATAGACACTCATACGAGTATGTCTTTATTTATTTTTTAATTTTTATTAAAAATATATATATTTAACACTAGAAAGGCCACGGAGGTCAGTTTGACGGTTCGGCGATTTCATTCTTAAATATTTTACGAACAATGTTTTAGGTTCTTGGGGGGCTCCTGTTTTTATTTATTTAGAGTTCTAAGTTAGGTGTTGTTGTGAAAAATCGTGATTTGCTACAAAAATTCCGTCTCAATTCTTCTGAAATAGAACAAGAACTGTCGCGGGACGTACAACAAGATTTGTCAAGTGATGAAATTGGTGATGATTTATCAGACAATCTATTTGAAACCCGTGATGCAGAATTTCAACCGGAACAGGTCACTTTATCATCTGAAGACTCCGAAGTAGATTTCCCTGCTACAAATAACAATACAGGGTGCGCCATCTTTTATGTCGGTATGTAAATATTGAATAACTTTGTCATTAGTGAACCGATTGACCGATTAATGTTGTTTTCAAAAATTAGTCTGAAGAAATTGTACAGAACCAAATTAAATAAAAATATCTCATACTTGAAAATCGGTTGTTTATTTTCAAAGATATTCAATGTTTACATACCGACATAAAAGATGGCGCACCCTGTAATGTAAACTCGCACAGAGGACGCGGGGTATCTGGTAGATCCATTAGCGGTGGGCGAACAGCGCGCGGTGGACGTTGAGCTAGGACATATATAGTAGAATGTTACCATTAACAACTTTTTCACGTCTCTAAATTTGGCTAAAAACCTAATGGTCGAAAAGACGAGTATGGTTGGAAAAATGCGGTACGCAAGACGAGCAGTACCGCCGATTTGTATATCTATTCGTTCTACTAGATATGAAACGTTTATAATGAAAACAGAGATCGTCTATCTATTAAAATCAGGAAAAATGTTATTATTTTGAGTACTCTGAGCATAGTAATGGAAAATAGCTGGAACTCGAAGATGGCCCATTCGGGTTTTTACAATATACTTGATTTTGTCGATTCTGTTCCGAAAGGTAACAGGAATAAATTATCCTTCAACTTGGAGGCGATCTACGTTTATGTGTAGAGTAAGCGAAAAAAAATCTTAGCATTACAATAGTTCTGAAATAAGTACTAACAAACAATGAGAGACGGCAATGTCAAAAAAATAATAACTAATAATAAATTTAATTTGAATAAAAATAAATTGGTACTGCTTTTTATATAAATTTAAAGCAAAATACGTAATAATTTAATGAGTATTCTGACTAAATCCCTTATACCGTCAAATTGACCGCTACGGTCTTTGAAGGTATAGTTAGAAACCCGGTCTTTCTAGTGGTAAAAAGTAATTAATTAATTACTTTTAAATTGTTTTATTTTGTGGGGGTGGTTACAGGGTATTTAAGACTTGGGCCTGCTCAGGCCTCCTTACAGAACTGATATTAACATCTACATACATATACATCGTTCATCTATATCTGGAAACCATTATTTACTATTAACATTAATGATTTAATATTTATTTTTCAAAACTATTTGGATTTAAACATAACAGCTCTATAAATATGTATTACAAATAAAGATAGCTGATAAATAAAAACCTCATTTAGTACTTTATTATTTTTATCATCAACTTTTATTTTATATAAAGCTTTATTCTCTTATGAAGTTGCTTCAAACTATTCTATCCTTTGCTTTTACGTACAAATTGGAAAATATTTTGGTAACGAAAACTCTTTCTGAAAACTATATGGTACTGAATAAAGGAACGAATTGGGCAGCTGATGCGGCCGGTCCCTTGGCCACTGGCCGACGGTCACGTACTGCGCTCAGGAAAGACGCGGACGTGTTTATTTTTCCCCTATTCTCAAAGGTTTCCCGCCGTACGTTTCAAAACTTTTTAACGTGAATCGCCTACGTGGCTTTATAAGCCACCTACCATCTCAGCAACAGGACGCAGAGCCGAAACACACATACATATGTGTTTAGGTATTGGGAAATGGTATAGTAATTCATAGGCACGTGAAGTAGAATAATACAAAGAAAACGAGTCATGCGCCTTTCAACTTCTAAATTATTCATTTGGCTCCATACAAATCTTAAAGCTTTAAGCAACGTGACTTCAAGCAATGGTTAATGTAATTCAAAAGCATAGCTAACCAATTCTCGAAGGCATAAACAAAGTTGATAGCCAGCGCCAAAGATTAGATATTTAAACATTTAAATACATATGAGACCCAACGCAGAAACTTTAGTTTGCTTTGCTTTATTTCTGTCCTTAAGTTTTCACTTACAGTAGTAGCCGCTTCATGGTCAGCCTGTGGTCAGAAGTTTTGGGTACAATTGTGGTAAGTAAGAATTGGCCAACGACGAAGCACGAAGTGCTGAAAACGGAACAAATAACAACATTAAACTCAGCTCAGATCTCCTGAGCCCAAATGACGCTCTCGTTATACATACACACATAAGCGGGTGAAAAAAGAAGCCGCCTCTTCATGTGTATGTATGTAAAAAGTGTCTTATTTTTATTTATTTATTTCATCGACAAACAATGCAGTCGATGTAAAGGAAAAAGAAAACAAAAAATCAATACAAAAGAGAACTTAAACTAAAATAAACAACAATTTAAACAAAAAAAAAACCGATTTCAAACTATTAACAGGCACTAAAAAGTAAAAAATAATTGCGTATTCTTCTACAACTTAATATTCAATATATAATGTAGATACAATTATTGTTATTTTTGGAGTCGGTGTCAGCGGAGTCGGAGTCGCGCCGCGCCAGTCAAGAGAAAGAGGCCCTTTATTACGAACCATTTCAGATTCTTTTCTCTTTTTGTATATCTACTACGTCGTTCTTACGGTAATTCCTTGTGTTTAATGTTGACTATATTTTCGTATCAGCATTTCCTTGATTACCCGTATGTCTCAGCATAGTGTCGTATTAAAATTCGTTTGATTCGTTTAACTAGGTACCGGTTTATTTGTTGTTTCAAGGTAGCAGATATTGTCACAGTAGTTATACGTGTATTGTCGTATAAAAGTTAATTTGAAATTGGGTTTAATTAGGTATTGGTAATCTGTCACAGTATATTGTCGTTCGTATAAAAGTTAATTTGTAAAAAAAGTATTTCTTAAGGAATTCTCATATTATTACTGGTAGATTGATTGATGGATTATATTATATTGTAGTGTTTCCTTGGCTGACACCGACTCCAAAAATAACAATAATTGTATCTACATTATATATTGAATATTAAGTTGTAGAAGAATACGCAATTATTTTTTACTTTTTAGTGCCTGTTAATAGTTTGAAATCGGTTTTTTTTTTGTTTAAATTGTTGTTTATTTTTGGATTTTTATTGAATGTGAAGTACACTAACTAATGTGTATGAATATGGGTAGACCTAATAAACGTGTTTCTCATATGAGACAGCGCCGCTTAAATGAAGCAAAAGAAGTCATGGAGAAATTCCTCTTTCAACAGAAGAGTCTTGCGAACTTTTCATGTTCTAAAGAATTCGTCGTGGATAAACAAAGACTGAACCGAGCACTCTTGTTCTCAATATATTTTGTCGAAAACGTTCATCACACTGTCTGTCTGTCGTCTGCGAATATCTACTAATCTGATTTGTTGAGTTGCGGCTCTTGTTGCAGTTTGTTCTTCTGACTTTTGAGCTTTTAGAACGCTGGGGTCGTGTATTTTTGCTACACGCATTGTTACGGTTAGATTTTTTCGACGGCATTATACTGAAATTGAAATTCTATTTCACATGATATCTCATTTAAATTTGACACTCATCTACCGGGTGCCTTCGCATGATATCTAAAACCCATGAACATTTTGTATGTTTTAAGAATTATATGGATTTCTCATGGATGCCATTGTCAGAATTGGACTAAATTGAAATGGGATCACATGGGAATCATCAGCTTTCAAATACAAAAGGAATCATCAAAATCGGTTCACACAGCCGAAAGTTCTGAGGTAGCAATGAAAAATACAGTCGAATTGAGAACGTCCTCGTTTGCAGAACCTAACCAAACTCTCATCAAAGTACCCTTGAAGTACATCCTTTCCAATAAAAAAAGATTCATAGAAATCGGTTATCGTGATATAAAGTTATTCGTTCATTTGTCTTGCACATACTTAATACAAATTTAAGACTTATGCTGTTTTCTCATGGATGCCATTGTCAGAACTGGACTAAATTTATATGGAACCATTCTGGAATCACCAGCTTTCAAATGGTATAAGAACCATTAAAAACAGTTCACCCAGTCGAGTGTACCGAGGTAACAAACATTAAAAAAAAAAAAAAAAAAAAAATACAGACGAATTGATAACCTCCTCGTTTTTGAAATCGGTTAATAAAGCTATAGGAATAAAAAGCCTGTAAAAATGACACAAATATCTAATAACGAATCCGACACGGTGGGGGAATTTTATTTGCCAAACGGCCAGCTATGAGCTTGAGGAGCCTAAATTGAATCGTACCCCAAAAAAAAAACAAATGTAGACTAAATTAGCGCATTGTCGATTCTTAAATACCACCATATTTATAAAATAAATAATAAATAAAATGATATAATAAAAACAATGTATCCTTCGAAACATTTAAAGTTCGTCAGTCGCTGTACCCAAAAAAGGCTAAATCAACATGTTAATCGAGAATATACACACTCGGTGGGTTCTACCTCGCCTCCCTCAGCATGTTACATTTGTATCTTTATACAAACCTAATAAACGAGTACCTTTTACATTTCATGTACAGGGTATACGGATTATACGCATTTATAAACAGACGCACATGGCTATATCGACTTGTCTTGTCATGCTGATCAAGAATACACACATACATACATATGTATACTTTGTGGTGGACGAAAGTAAGACTGAAACATCAAAATTTTTTGATAACAATGTTATATCGAAAGAAATAATTCTGGTAAGTTCTAGTACATATAGTATGTACTATGAATCTCGCAGTTAGAT